GACACATATTAAAAGTTTAGACACATTCTACAGCAGAGGTCTCAAACTTGCAGCCCATAGGACAATACTTAAATTTAACAGCCCCATACACGACATCAAAGTGTATGGTTAGAAGTTAGCCTGGCCTGGGCGTTTTTTGGCACATGCATCTTTTTTGCGAAGAAGTTTATGTTCTAAAAAAACATATTGAGAAGATTGATTCAGTGTATTTTTCTTGAAACTTTTTGGGGGGGAACACTTCAATGGCCCAGGCTCACCCCTGTCCTACAGCCCAGTGTATTTTCTTTCACAGAAAGTAGCCTATACACGACCTCACGACAAGCTTCCAAGCCCAGTCAGATATTGTAACAACTCTTGCTCTACCATTAAAGGTTTACAATGTGTGTGTGTGGAGGAGAGGGGTGGAATAGGTGGAAATAGGAGACATAAGTATTGCATACCACCTTATTCACAAAACGACACGACTAGGCCTTTTAAAAACACATCTATTGAGACACACTGAGTATGGAGGTGTGTGTGTGTGTGTGTGTGTGTGTGTGTGTGTGTGTGTGTGTGTGTGTGTGTGTGTGTGTCAGGCACTTTAAAATTAAGTTTGAAAATGAGGCGTACACTTATCCAACACCTCCCAATTTTTTTTTGCAGGATCTTCACCATGGCCACAGACTGTTCCGCCCAGACTTCCCTGAGATCATGTTACTTTGCCACAATGTGGTTTGACCACCTTAGATCCATCATCCATTCACCATGTTTTGTTGGTCGGAGAAGGGAGCCAGGGGTTGTTTGTAATTCAAGTTCAAGTAATTGTGTGAACATAACGCCCATTTCAACTCTATTAGTAGCTAAAACATCTTTAATGTTGGCAGGCTGTTCAACTGCTCTAAGCCGAGAAAGCAACATTTTTCAGGAGAGAGAAGACAAAAAAAACCACATATTGTTTAAAAAAAATTGTACCTGAATTGAATACTGGCTTTTTTCTACATTTAGGATTTGAATTTTACACCATATTTCTGAAGCACATGCAACCAATATTAACTACAGATTTAGAAACTGCAATTTAAAAAAAATCTAATTAAAAAACTTGGGCTTAGTCCATCAGTACATCTGAACAGCTGGCTAACAAAAAGCCGAATCTATGAATTCAACTACCCATCCCCTACACAAGACCAAGTCGGTGGAAAGCCTCAGAAACATTTCCCAAACAAACCAAGTTCACTGAACCATAACCCATAATTATAGCAGCTGAGCTAATGGCAAACCCTTTGCCTCAGTAATGAGGACGTCAGTGTGCTTCCTCTAGCGCTCAAGTCATTCTTTCTTTCATTCCACCAGTCGACAAGCACAAACCTTTCCCTGAGAGTAAGGATTCACTGTTTGGTACATTAGCCACAAAGGCTTAGGGGGACTTCATCTTTCTAATGCTAAATGTATAAACAATGGTACACAAAACTTCCCCATTCAAAAAAATACTACTACACACATTTAACACCCAATTAAGATCGTTTTTGAGGCACTCTACTTTGACTCTGCCTGACAGCCTGTCAAAACCAACCCACGCTGAGTAAAATATAGCATCCTTGTAGAAAGATGAAAATACCCAACAAAATAGACTTCCCCGCACAAAAATTGAACCCATGTCTTTCGTATATAATGGTGAAGAGTCATAAAAAACACCAGTCGCCAGTTCACTGATGACCACCGAGTTGAATACGTGTACGTCTCATTTATGAAGGGCTCAGACATTTCAAACATAATGGAGACAGACAAACCACCAGCCGGTCATGACCAAATGTAACTTACCACGCAATCTGACACTGGTGAGGCAGACAGTTTATCAACACTCAAAACTTTCATATATGCACATCTGACAATAACTTGAGATTACTAAACACAGCTGTGTTTGCACAATCATACAGAAACCATCAATCCACTCCCTGTCTGTTCACATGTGGACTCGCAATCACAAAAACAATAGAAGACTTCAAAAGTGATCAAACATCTTATCCTTTAAAAAACATTTTAAAAAAGATTCATCAACATAAGAAAAAATTACCATTGATTTGGGTTAAAAAATGAGATTTCTTGTCAATGCCCAGACCCCGTCATCTGTACGGGCATTAGGTGTGTGCACCCCCCCACCCCCTACTCAAAGATCTTGAAATACACAGAGAAGGCTAAAATCGTTTCTGAAATCTTTTTTTTTGTAAACTTATTATAGAGTAGTGAAAATCCAATACTACAATTTTTCCACTATAACTGTCCCTATTCAGTCCAGAGATTTGGATGGGGTATACACATGTGCAATTCCACCAGCAAAATTACTTATCTGTGCACAGCAAGGCACCGACCTCTTTTAAAAGACACAGAAGTATCACTACCTCTACCATGCCCAGTTATACAAATGAAACCAAAGGCAAGTTCAACACAGCTCACAGTTTTCCCATCACTTGGTTAGTAATAGTAATAGCTGGAAAGAATAGATCTGGTAATGAGAGTTGCATTGATGTTAAGGGTAGCCAATTCAAAATTCATACTAGTATGTTCATTCTACAAATCAATGATTTAAAACATCAAGGGAAAGGCAGTTCATGGTATCCCAGCAATGTGATGCAAACACTTTCCCTTTCTTTTGACTGTGCAGGCCAGTTTTAACAAGTGTTTACTTTTTTTTTTTTCAAGACAGTCATAAAAATCTGAAAGGTAGCAGGTTAGTATGCAGAAAATGTTGCCACTTCAACATCAGTTACATGTACCTTTCCCCAAAAAGAGTTGAAATAAACAACTTGACTAGGTTCTTTTAATTAGCCAGTGTCCCGCAAGTAATTCAGCTTGTATTACTATACTAATATTTGCTCTGCCGAAGGTAAAAAAATCTTTAGAAAGACCTGAAACTTTACATATCCTGACCTGATAGGAAAAATAAATGTGAAAAGCTATATTGCAAGGGGAAAAAAAGAGGTGTGTGTGTGTGTGTGTGTAAAGTTTACACATAGATGACGAGAAATGCAGATAAGAAAATGCCCCCTTTATTTAGGTGAATTTATGGGTTAAAATTCAAACACATAAAATGCAAGACAGCACAGTCTCAATCAACTAAATAAGAGATTTCATGTTACCTACTTACATTCACACGAGCATTGAGCAACTAACTTGTCTTATACAAAGTTTGTTCCCACTGGCTTGGTTATTGTAAGGCATTATGTGTGTGCATCACAGTATGGAACAGATACCAGATATTGAAACTTACTCATCCTAATATACAGAAACACACTTAACTCACCAGTTTTATGGTCCGATTAAAAGACAACTTTTCAAAGATTAGATTAGAATATCACAGCAAATCTAAAGCAAAAGTTTTCAATTCTGAGAACAATTACCCCTTTCAGAACACACTTTTTTTGTAACATGATTTTTTTTTAATGAACTGTCTGCACCATCAATAGTACATATAACCTCTATCCTCTGCAATGTGCATAACGACATTTTTCCAACAGAAGACTTTTTTAAAATCCACCAAAACACAATCTCCTAAAAAAAATAAAAATGCACTATTCAAAACCTATTACTTCTTCAACAATAATGTAACCTGCAAATTATACAGAGACAAACAGGAGCTGTTCCATATTCCCTATTCACTCCAATACTGCAGAGGAAAAGAGTGTGGCCTCCATTTGCACTATGAGATAATGTAGGTACAGGTTTTTCAGGGAGTTCATGAAAGTTCCGATTTGGCTAAAAATTTGAATAATACCCCGCGGAAAAAAATTCATTAACCCTATCCGTACGCCCGGGGGTCATTTTGTACATCCGGGTTTGTATTCTTCACATTTTAGAATACTTCTAGTGCGAAGATCTCTGAAACTTTCAGTATTTCTTAAAAAACCACTTTGACAGACTGCTATGCAAAGCGTACGGATCTAATTAACGAGTAAATTTCCCCTTTAGAAAGTGGTAGCACAGAGTTCCCCATATCGTACGGATACGAAAGTAAAACATGACGTGACGTTCATTCGTTTAGGAAATATTCAGCAAATGTGTGTGTGCCTAAAGAAAGGTACCAAAAGTCGGATTTCGACCACTTTGAGTAAGGGTTGTACCTTATAGGAAATTCAATGCTGAACATAGCCGTTTTTGAATTTTTGAGACATCTCAAGTAGTTTTTGAGATATTGCACATTTTGTGAGGTAGGGTAAAAGGATCTAATATTGAGAAAATTAGCTTTTAAGTTTAGGACACATGCAAATTTGAAAAAAATTATTATTCAATTGTATCTAATTTATTTATTCATGGAAAATTTATTTCCAATTTGGCATTCAGTTGACATCAATATCATGATTAGAATTCAATGGTAAAACATAGCGGAGAAGAGAAAATATGTTTCAAGAATAGAATCTTAACACCTTCTAAAAGCAGTTTTCATTATGTCTTTAAAAAATACCCTTGTCTCAAAATTAGTAAAAATAAAATATTTAGAAGTCAAATCAATGAGAATCATTTTAACACAAATTTTTTTTTAAATAATGGGGAAACTATCATTTTTTAAAATGGAAATACATTTTGGTTTTAAAAAAAGTGATTTTTTGTCATTATCAGCCTGTAGCTCAAAATGGTCTGTGGCGACTTTTGGTACCTTTCTTTAGACACACACAAATTTGTAGATCTATTATTTGTCTGCTAGTATGCATGCAAAATAACAACCAATTTCCATAAAGAATCAGTGAGGTATTCACAGTATAAGACATGTTAGCAAAATCCAATATGGCCACTGTCTCCATGGCAACGAAACTTTTTCCCAAATTTGACTGTGGATTTGGAGACTCCTCACTATGCTTGTTATATGTGAAATTTCATCCACTAATAAAAGAGAAGGCCTTCAGACCCCCCCCTCCCCCCTAACTGATCCAGTCCGCAGCACCGCTCACAGCTGCTGACTGTCTTTTGTGTTTTGACACAGAGTGGTTTTTATATATATTGCTCCTTTTCTTCACATCACTTTCCTTTTCTTTTTTCCTTACCACTTCCAACTCAACCTTTTTTTCTGGTGCCATGTATAGTATTCTTTATTCTGAATATCTATATGTCACACATAAAATTTTATAAAATCTAGACATTTCTTTATTAACTTTTTATGAGAGCCCTGTGAGGTCACAAAACAGTCACGAATTATTTGTGGGATGAATCAGTTAAATCGGATTTAACTAAGCTACCATATTCCACTTATGTCGGACATGTTAAGTTGAGCTTTTGAAATTTCAAGAAATTAACTGCAAACACACATGCAGATTACAAACCTGGAAACTGGTTACTGAACCCTAATGTCCTAGTTTTAGAAATGTGCAGGATAATACCCACTGTGATTCTCACGAGCAATAACTTATTGAAATAGAAAAACCAACAAGCATCTAAAAATATAACTAAACCACAACATTTTTTTTTAAATTCACGGCTAAAATTGACAGCAAGAAAAAATGCACACAAATGAATTAAAAAGAACACAAATTTGTGCCAAAGAACCTACTTGTTTCAAACAAATTAATAAACTAAAAAAACTAAACTAAACCACAATTTTTTTTTTTTATTCACGGCTAAAATTGACAGCAAGAAAAAATGCACACAAATGAATTAAAAAGAACACAAATTTGTACCAAAGAACTAGAACAATACTTGTTTCGAACAAATTAATAAACTAAAAAAAAGTAAAAAACCCATTAAAACTCGCATTAGAATATTTCACACATGAAAAATTCATACCCCCACATTCCAAGCATTCTCAGAACTTTTCAGTCTCAAACACATTACTAGTCTTTCAATACATCATCTAAACAACACACTCATTGCTGGTATACCTGTGTATATATATTTTCTTTCAGACTCAGTGAATAATTTGTTCTTGTACAACATCAAAGACAAACATCTTGATTTTATTAAATATATGAAGTAGAGCTAAGAAGGAAATGATAATAAACATAATTATAAAACAACCCATGATTACACACAAATAATTAATGCATCAAATAGTGAACAGGTAATGAGTACATGCCACCAGAGTTCATAATGCAGTAAGGCTTACATTTAGAAAGAATAGACTTTCCTCACATACATTCAGGAAAAACCATTAAGACGTGTAAAAACCTTGATACACACCAACACTCCGTAATATTTTTTACACACAAGCAAATATGAAACACTGATAAAAAAGAAAGAAATCAAGAATGTAAAGCAGGTGAGGAGGTGAGAGGGAAAACGCCTACATAGATATAATAACTGAATCATTGGCCCCATAAAAATCATTACTTAGTAAAAGGATGTGTGCAGAATCTTTTGTCAAAAAAGACAAAGATGGGGGCAAAGGTTTGGCCAAAACAAAACACTAAAGCACTTTCGGCAAAAGTAAAGAAACGATTCTAAAATGGGTAGAGTAAATTGCCCCGCAATGTTTTTTTTGTCAAGCAAACTTAGTGGGAGACAAAAAGAAAATCTAATCTGAATAAGTATGTTTGATTAAAAGCAAAACTACTGCTTGTAAGAAGACACACAATATTAAGACAACTGCTATACTCATAGACCACAGACATGCAAATGTTTAGAAGGAAATTATAAAACTTTCTTTTTATAAAATGGACAAAACACTTTTATTTCTTTTAAAAAAAAGAAAAGGAAGAAAAAAAAAGCTGAACATAGATTAACATCTTCAACTTTTATAAACTTTCTGTATGATGTGAACCGAGGAGGGAAAAATTTATCAAGCTCCTCCTTCCTCACACTAGGCATTTAGATAAAAAAGTGAGAAGTGCTGTGGTATACCAACCTCAATGTGATATTCATTCTTTGGAAAGGGACTAAATTCATACTTTGAGGCCTTAACTATAATGTACTATTTTGGTTGTTTTAGTAAGTGTTTTACGACACTTGAAACACAAATATGTGCAGAAGATTTCAGGTGTTACTTGAGAGTAAAAAAAAAAAAAAAAAAAAAAAGAGAAGAGATAAGGGCGACAGATATTTGATAGGAAAGGATAAAACTATACCACAGCATCTACCAATCACTTGTTGATGTATTGTAAAACACTAAAAATGTAACTAGCCGCACCCTCCCATCAGTCTCAGACATCATCCGCATCACTAAATCTGCGGTTATATGTAAAACCAGATGGCTGCTTCAAGGTTTTTCAGATCAATATAATGTTTGATTTTTAACGTTCAGTTTAATCTCCAAACACGAGAGAAAAAAGGCATCTATAAGGAGGGAACATCCTCAGGTCAGATTGATCTATTTTGGACAGCTAGTTTTCAATTTAATGATTTAAACTTACAAATTTAACCTAATGATGTTTTTCCATTCCCCTCAGAAAATAAGTCATTCAACATTGTCTTCAAAAGTAAATTTTCAGAACGAACGGATTGTAACAAGCCAGTGCCTTGATTCAAACTGTAGTCCATCATCATCACTAATGAAGTTCTTTACCCCCATAAAACACCTGCTAAATGCTATGTTTGACTAGCACTAACTTTACACATACACATGCCCCAGCTGTGACCTTTTAATAAAAATGTCAGAGCAGCCACTATTAGAGACACCATACTCATTCATTATGAACCAAAACCCACCTAATCTGACCTGTAATACAGATGACATACACAAATTAAACTGTACAGGGATCAAATGAACAAGGAAAAAATATGAAGTGCAACTAGTGAAGGAGGTGTGACTTATTAGATATTTTACAAAATCACACAGTAGAAGTATTTGTATGCAGCATATCTCTCAAGGTTCTTGAAGCAGCTATGTGAGTGTTACAAACATGCGATTTTTGTAGGCATTGAAAGTACGAGCACCATGATAATCCCAATTCATCCACATAAAATGTTGAAAGTGGTCCTTTACTATACTTTCCTTTCTCTCTGAGGCATATCAAACGTATATTCTCAAAGCAACACAGTAGTAGAGAGCCTAAAAATTGCTTCTACTACAACAGTTTGAGAACACAAATTCCTCATCATATCAATACAGTATGCAAAACATACAGTCCGTTCTGTAAGCCAGCATGAAATATGAACAATTATACGGGACCCATTTACCATATCCGATTCATGCTGCTAAGGGTGTTAAAGAAAGGCATTACGTTTGATATAGTTGCATTGCACAACAGAATGGAAAGATTCATGAAAAAGGTGCTAAACAGAAAAATAAGCATTACACTTCCATCATGCAGTCAACACAGACGCATCAGAATAAGATACATTTCACAAACCCTAGTTTACAAACTTTCTAAAAGTTAACATTTGCATATTGGTGCTTTAAGGATAAATGGGGGTGGAGCGGGCAGAGGGGTTTTACTGTCATCACACAAGCAGCAATTTTGCTGCAAAACCCAGACACCATCATTGTCACATCACACACACCTAACTACAAGGTTAGCCTGGTGCAGGCTTTATTGCTATGGTAATAACACTCGCTTTATTCACTGCTTTGATTCTTTTGTTTCTACATATTGTCGTACAATACAGACAGCACACATTAAATCCAAGCTAAAAAAAAAGGCAAAAAAACCTCAAACATCCCCCTGAAGCCAGCCGGAAATTTCATGGAAAATACAGCACACTGCTCCAACACAAGTTCTCCATTCTATCTGCATTTTGATGTCACATGACACTCATTTACCCACAACCTTTTCCGAAATGCCCTCTTCTTCCAAGCTGGCGTTGCCAAAGGAAAGGTAGAAAATTTCCCATCTCACACATTTCCATAATAACAGAAAAATGAGAACCACAATGAGCTTAAATGGACGACTCTACTGTCAGTACAACGAAAATTATGTTGGCCATGGTAAAGAGGATGACGACAATGGTGATGATAAAGATGGTGGTGTTGGACTGGTGCTGATGCTGCTGTTGCTGCTGCTGCCTAGGGACGAGGCTGGCGTGACATCATGCATTGCCGTTCTGCTTTTGTGCCACATAGTCAGTGTAGGCAATGGTGATCTTTTCACTGCGATAGCGAGTCAGTCGTATAGACTTGCGCACCTCTGGCGTGATTGGTCCCTTAAAGCCACCCTTCCGTAGTAGAGAGTCGATGGTTTGTATCCTATCCCAGCCTGAAGAAGACAAGATTTGCACACATTCAAAACTAGTTTCAAACCAGTACACAACAGAAACCATTTTTTTTTAAAAAAGCTTTCCAAAGAAATAACACGACACATGCTAATTTTCTTGAAGCATTACTACAACGATCGCGATCTGACACATCGTCATAAAGAGTAACCAAGCTCACACAGATAACCGACATGTATCCCTGTACATTTACACCACAACAACAGCACATACTAAGGGTTGCACACTACTCTATACTCTATGCAAGAAAACAAGCTCCAGCTAACCCAATATTCCTCCAGTTTCCACTTTATGAACAAAAACCCAAACCGGCGAAAGCTCAAGGAAATAAAATGCTGTCCCCATCACCTTATAAAGCAGGAGCACCTAAGCTTTGAAATATTCTAAAGACAAGTAAATAGGACGCTATATCTTAGTGAAATCTAAAATTACATTTAATTAAATGCTGCAGCCAGGACTGCAAGTTGAATTTAAGAACATTCCCGTAGTGAAATTACAAGAAACAGAAAATATGAAGCTGTTTGCATTTTAGAGAACAAAGGAGACCACAGTAAAACATATTTTTTAAAAAGAACTAAGGATAATAAAAAGGATACCTTGCTCAACTGCTACCTCTGGGAGATATGTTGCTGTTTTTTTGTGGCCCTTTTCGTTGATGAATTCAATACGAATACCATGAGATCCAAGCTGGGGAGATCCAAAAAAAAAAAAAAAAGAATAGAATTTTATTTTTTACTGGAAGTTAGTTAATTTTTGGAACCTAGCAGGGAGGGAAAACAATTTTTGAAAGAAAATTGCATCTTCTCAAGCCCATAAAAAACCCAACTTAAAAGCTTGGATGGAAAGATGTACTTTTTTGTGGTCCAAACAATTTTCCATGAGCGAGAGGTTTAAAGAAATAGGTGAGGCATACTGACAAAATGATTCACTGCTTCCAAACCATGAATGGAGATATCGGCCTTTAAATAAACACTGGTGTCCATTTGTAAATTTTAAACTGATGCCATTTCATTCAAGTATAACAATGACTACGGGCGTGGTAAAAAATTTGTGACAAACATCTCCTCAATTATTGACCACAGACGTTCCAACTTTTGCAGAATGACCGTACTATACTGCAGTCATTTTTTAAAAATCAGTACAGTTTTTACAATTTTACAGGAGGGCCAAAACATTCATTGATATTGAAAGAAAACACTAATTGCTTTAAAAATAACAAGGAAGCTATTATCACAACTGTATTCTTTAATTTAAAACATTGACTTGGGATGTTTGCAAAGAGTTTGTTTTCTTGGTAATAAAATTAATTTTATTCGTTCTATAAAATTGTGAAAACTGCATGTACTGTACTTTTTAAAATGATGGCAATAAAGTAGTCATAGTTATAATGAACAAATTACTGTTCATCATATACAGCTTTGAAAGAGTTACTGAAGCTGTGAAAGCGAAATCATTAGGCATCGATATAATATGGACGATTAAAGAGTTACAACATAAATTTGATTTTGGACCTCGTATATCACCTGGGTATATCACCTTTTGACAATGGCACCATAGTAAAATCAAACTGACAGACTGCATTTCTTAAGTAGTCTATGTTCTACTCATGAGAGACAGTATTCATTACTTCTCTCCAAAGCTTACCTCCCAGTCTAAGTAGTCCAATCCCTCCTCAAAGTGAGTAAGCAATGAGACTGAACAATGCAACTTCGGGAATTCTTCTTTGGTGATGGGTTCAAATCGGCTATCCTTCATTGCACTATGGGGGGAAAAACAAAAAAGAAGTACAGCCAATATTAAAAATAAGCAACACTCTCTTGAGACAACATACATCAAACTACAGTCAAACCTGTGTAAAACGGCCACCCATTGTCAAGGAAAAAAGTGGCTGTATAACACAGGTGGCCGTTTTAGGCAGGACTGATCAAAATGAAGAAAGCAAATTGTTCTCTTCGGATGTCCAAACCGGGGGTTATCTCAGGCTTTGGACTGTCATAAGGCTAATTCAAAAGGGTTTTTGTTTTCTTTTGAAAAGGGAATGGGGGAAGAAAGTTTTTTTTGTGTTGTTTTATCAGTTTTTTGGGTTTTTTTGGTTGGCTTTCTTTTTGATGCGGATTTTGTGCAAGGGTAAATAAAATAAACGAAATATTATGAAAGTATGATGATGAAGACGGAGCGCCATGGTTAAACAAACACACGGATCGCATTTCGCATATATATGTCATCATACTGCACTGTGTGAACACCATCATGCGCTCGGTGAAAAGCATTGTAAATAATGAATGTTGCAGATGGACTTTTCTGTAAAGACCATTATTATAAGCACATGGATATTTGAAGAGTTGCATGACTCTTCGAGGCATCAATGAAGTCTTGTTTCTTCAAAATTGCAAAGCACAACACTACACACCAAGTACATGCTACAGGTATTCATTTCAAACAAAGATCCAGAATCCAGTCTTTCAGTGGTCTAGGCCTACATAATCCACACAGAAAAGCACAGGAATTTCTAAACACTTTGTTAAGGGGAGACGTACACTCCCGGAAAAATTTTCTAAACGAAAGACTTTTATTCAATTTCATGTAATTGTGCAAGAAGTTCATAGGTAAATAGTATGTACTAGAGGTGAATTTGTTCAATTTTTCAGAAAAATGGGTCTCTGTGGCGGCCATCTTGGATTTTCAAACCAGTTTCTTAGTGCAGACAAATTTCATAGTAAATATTGAATTATCAGCCTGAAATTTGGCACACAAGTACAAACCTATATGAACTGGGGATCTATGAAAGTATTTTGACCTATCTTTAAAACTAAAAACGTGATCCCAAAGTCATTGGACCCCCTAGAGTCAGTTGACGAAATTTTGGGGTACATATTACACAAAAATGGAATATTTCCTCAAGTTACCAATATTTCCCAATTCCCTTTCATAGATCCCCAGAATCGATCTTACACCTGTACACCAAATTTGAAGCTTCTAGCTTCTATAGTTTTTGAAAACTCCTGGCATCCAGGAGGTCACATATATGTCAAAAAGTAGATTTTGAGAAAAACAGAAAAAACAGGGATTTTTTAACGGATGTTTAGAGCAATTTGCACTTTTCAAACGCCCTCTTAGGTCATTTAGGGTGTTTTTTCAACTGTTTCTTCATTTTGACTCCATAGAACAGATGTCAAAGGATGTTTTTCCGCAAAAAACAAAAGTTGGATAGTTTGAAAAATTGTATCGATATTGCATTGGATCGTCGACCCAGGTCTTCCCTTACAGTAATGTTTACTTTACTCCCGGCTTTGGCACAACTTAAAGTTTTTCACAGGGCAAAGTGACACCGAGTGTCTACAAGAGCCCCAGGCAAAGAGAGTGTTAAAGTTAAAGAGCAATCTCTCTAATACTCGTGTTTTCTACTTTATAATTACCAAAAGCCCCCAACGGGTGAAAACAAAACTGTAAGTGCTCAAGTAATTACCCGAGTACTCAGAGGTTTAGAACTCGAGCAAGTATTTGGATATACAGTTGAACCTGAGAAAGACGGAATCGCAAGGGAGCCAGAAAAATATTCCGTTTTAGACAAGGCAGGGGAATTTAGGGGAGATGGAAAGAGAGGGGGAGGGGGGGGTTTCAAAGGCCCAGCCGGTGGGTTCAAGGATCTCTCGTCCAATTGGGGCAAGCAGTGGTCAAAACTTCACACCTCTCTATTACTATCCTGTCTGATAATGACATGCATCAGTCTTACTTATCCAATTACCACCAGTGCTTGCCTTTCATAGGACCACTGTTTGACCTATTAAAAAAACGAAACGTCTGAAAATCTCCTTTGCTTGGACACCCTTAGACCCCACCCACCGGGGTAACAAGCACAGTCAACCAAAGCCACCCCCCACTGCTGTACGATCAGGGCGGCAGGCATTGGTCAAACTAATTTCACACCTCTGACTTCTTGCTACCCAGGAAAGTTTCCGTAGTGGCTCGCTACTCGAGCACTCTCACAGACAGTCAAGAGATTTCACACCTACACTACCCTGACCATCTGCATCGCTCAGGGCTCACATGATGGAGTAACATCTACTCTGAGATAGCACTCCTACTCCCCTTCCACGCCCAGCGGCATGGCCATGGCATTACGTTTAGAGCCGGCGGAACCAAACTTGCAAGTTTTGTTTCAAATCAGGGCTGAGCGGGCAAAGCATTTTCCGTCTTATATAAATACAGGTGAAACCCTCGGAAGGGAGCGGATTTTTCTTTCCGTTTCCACTTTGGACAGGTTTCCGTTTTATACAGGTATTTAAAGAGGAATATATCAAGGGGGGAGTGCGGAGATTCCGTTAAGACAGGTTCCACTGTATTTTAAAACTACTCGAGTGAGCACTCAAAGGGGGCTAAATACAAGTACTCATGTGGACTCCAGTACTCGCACACCCCCCAATCTCTAACCCAAATGAAGTCCTTTTTGGTGGAAAACAACCCATGCCAGCCTGCTCACTCTAAAAACAATCTGAGGTCAGAGTTCATTTTATGTCACTGATAGCTGAGAAAACAGAAGGCCTAGCAGAGTAATTTAAATTCTATCTGTATGCCAGCGTGAAATTTATGTTCCACTTATTACCAGTCTGGTTGTCAAAGTCTGATGATGACAACAAAGACCAATGCATCAACATAGAGATGAAAATTCCTGAAGTGTAATAGAAGAATTAAAGGTAAAGATGACTTGTATGGCTAATGAGAGTTTAATGAGACCAAATCTAACAGAAAAAAGTTTGTTCATGCCACATCTTGAGCTTTCAAAAGCCTCATATTTTGGTTGATGTGTCAGGCTTCTCTCTTGGTGAAGCCTCATAAGACATATTGCTCTTCAGCTGGGTCTGTCAGGAGCTAGGCTCTCCCATGTAGAAAGATTTATGATGATGTCCTTTAGAGACATTTTCAGGGTGTCTTTCCCACCTCTCCCCCCCTCCCCTTACATTTTTAAAATGCAATCATGTACAAGATATCTCCCTAATCAACTTTCTCCTCGACAATGATGGATGTCTTGGACAATTTCGACTGTAATACTTTCTTCTAACACAGATGGTCTAGTCCCATTCATTACTTCTGATATTTTTTGTCTTCAAAGCAAGAAAACAAAACAAGTTAAACAGTGGGCAATGTCATGGATCTTTTCAATTTGCTTGACACAGGAAATCTATCATAATAAAAATTGTTTATATAGCGCATATCCACACTCTCATGCTCTATGCACTTTACAATTATTACCACAGCAGATCCTAAATGCCCAGAAACATTCTCTGCTTCCCGGAAAGCATGCAGTGCAATCTACTGATGTCTTGATTGCACAAACTCAAACACTAACAAACTGACTGTCTATAGCCAGGTCCCCATTCCCACCTGGGTAAAGAGAGGAAAATTAGTGTAAAGAGCATTTCCCAAAGATACAACTTCAAACCCCAGACGGGATTAAAACCAACAACCTAGCAGTTGCGAGTCCAAAAGCCTAACCACAAGGCCACTGACTGACACCACAACCACAACTCTAAGACTAAGGGTGTAGCCTACCAACCTTGTGACAGCATACTCTCTCAGGCCACTGTGTAATGAGGTAGGGGAAAATGTCCCGATGCACCCACGAAGACGACGTTCACGGCCCAATTTCCATGTCACAAAGAGAGGGCTGTAGGAAAGAGAGAAAAGGAGTGATAATATATTATAATATATGTGGCTACTAATAATTAACGTCTCAAACTCAAAAAATGACTGTTTATATAAATATAAAAAAGAGTTACACAAACAGTTTTTAGTTTTAGTAGAGGTTTTACGGCACTCGCAACCTGTATAAGGTCATATGAGCACCAGAAGATTAGAGCTGTTACAACAGAGTAACAAACATAAAAAAGAAAAAGGGGAGGTAAGGACGATAGAAGTTTGATGGGAAAGAAAAAGCAAACCACACCAGAGCACACGCTCAGAAACATTTTGGCTTCCCGGAAAGCATACAGTGCTTGATTGCATGAACTCAAACACTAACAAACTAACCCGTTGTTGCATTTGACAAGAGGATCATTCTAGTTAAAATTTTGTTTTGTCCATAAAAGCTTTTTTCTGTGAATGAGTAGTTCTCTACTTCTGAGTTTGTGAGTGTGTGTGTGTGGGGTGGGGAAGAGTTCAAGCTTGTCCCATGAATCGGTGGATTCAATGTTGCACTTTATCTTGCCATCTGAAGAATATATGGATATCTGTACGACATGGCCTCTTTTGGGTCTTCCAGGCCTGATTGCCTTCCACAGGCCAGACTTTTAAATGAAATCCCTGATTGGGATAAAAGACTTTGTAAGGCTATCTGCTCACTCCCGCCATGCAAAAATGTTTACATAGTCCTTTTGAACATAAATTATTGTGTTTTTTCAAGGCAATTTGGATAGTGGTCTGAACAAAATCTACCTCCATGTATCTACTTCCTTTTCACGAGATACATCTGCTCAGTTGTTTCAGCGTGATTTGAGCAGCTGTTTAAGAAGGCTTTTGACAAAACAGAATTTCTATTTTGGTAACAGCAGCCGTCTAAATAGTTTCAATGTATCACAGTTGACTTTGACTAGTCAATGATATACAATGAAAACTAGTTGTCCTCCAGCTGTCCCTCCTCTTCATGCTTAACGTAGCAACTCACATCTTTTGTAACCAAATTAACTTTTGTAATGTTATGCACAAACAATTTAGTTTTGTTATAAAGCGTCAAAGCATGTACATGATAGACAAGACACCAGGAGGACAGACTGAAGGTCCATCGCAATTACACAGATTTTTACCGCTGCTCAGTGCAGACAGTTGCTTATCGTTGTCCTTTTTGGCGTTAGCTCGTAACTTTCCTTCTCTGAGACGCTACCAAATCTCATCACTGACTTTTTCAGCCGTGTGTTACATACGTTGCAAATAAGGACAGATTTTGTTCATGGAAGATGTCCCTGAATGAGGAGATGGCCAAAGGCAGTTTTTTTTTTTATTCTGGTGACAAAGCGCAAAATAGTCCCTGTTGAAATATTTATTACTTTTGAAAGTTGGCTCTATATAAAAATTTCCTGTTTGGTTTCAACAATAATGAGAAGTCACTTTGCACAGTTTTGCAAAGAAGACTTTGAATTCAATAAAAAAAATGTTCTGCTCAGATTTTTTATTATAGCACGGGTTGTCTCTTGTGGCAGTGTCTTAGAAACACTCTGTGCTGGCAGTTTCATTAATTATGACAGAAGTGTCTCCTTCCACGACAATGTTCCTAATATACCATGCCATTCACCAAGAAGATGTCCTGCTTCCATTCCGCTCAAACTTTCTTCCCTTTTTATTAATTAATTATTATTTTAATGTCAGACTGTCCATATTATCTGGTTAAGACATGATGCCGTGGGGAACCAGGCTTAGAATGTGGTGTTGCTTCCATAATGGGTGGCAGTATAACATGAGAAGACTGATCAGGGGAATCTGACCTACTGAAAGGTGTTGCAGGGTCAACCGAATGAGACATGTGGTGACTGAACATGATGGATATAATGATAAGTGGGCTAATGCACTCTCGGCAAAGAGTGGTGCTGGGTCAGCGGTGAGTGACATAATAATATTATGGGGTGATCGCATCGGAAAACGTGGTGAAATGGGCAGAGAATATATAGTTCAGGATTGACCATCATAAGGGCGACAGACGGGTGTGGTGAATTTGATGTCAGAAGTGATGCAGATTCAATAAAAGGTGAAGATATGTCGAAGATTGTTATTGATGTAAAAAGGTGTCGGAACAGGAGCACATGGTGAACTTGGTATAGAAGGCAGTTAAGAATTGCTCCAACCACTTGTAAGCGCCGACGACCAGTCTCAAACCACTGCATTCTGTTGTAATCAAAGCTTGTACGTGGAATGATGTTGGCATTTACGAGTTCTGATCACGAGCATGTCTGGGGAAGGGTTGACTTATGAGTGTTGTTTGATTACGATAAAAAACACTGTTAAGAATTTTTTTCAGGTAAACTTTATGTTGGCATATATAGTGCACCGTAATCAGGAGAATGTATTAGTGCGAAAGAGTTGAAAAATTGTCGCTTACATCACAAGCTGTGATCAAAGGGGCATCAACATTCATTACATTTGTTTTACCCGAACCAGGTTAGACAACAGAAACCCAGGGGAAAAAAATTCTGTTTGATGTTCCATTCATCGCCTACTTCCCGGAGTTACCTTACTGTAAGTCTAAACCAGGCCAATGGGCCACCCAGTTGGATATAGGCATTTTAAAGAGGAGAGAGAAGTGCCCCGTTTGGCTGTCAGAGTCTGGGCCTAAAATAACCCCACCCTCTCCCTTTTCCACCATCACTCCAGATAGACTCTACAGTTCCCCACTTAGAATAACAGAGTTCTTCTGAGAGCTGAGAAGAGCAATGAAGAGTAGAGGAACTTTTGAAACTGATCCGAAATTGCTGAGTGCTAAATTTGTTCAATGTGTATATATGGGGGTGAAATTGTACAGAAGTACAGTAACTTGATTCTAGACTTCATCTGTATGGAACAGTCACAGTGTCTTTGGAAAGGTATCAAATGATTGACAGCACACAGGTTTTAACAGTTTTATAAGGTTCACAAGGTGAGTGCATGTCAAGATTTTGTTATGTGTATTATGTATGCCATGCGCATGGATGTGGGGATTATAATGTAGATCTAGGTTTTTGGGTGACGTACAGGTGGGCAGGGCTAAGAGGTGCTTGTTTCTAACTTCCAGTTTGTTTTAATATTATAAGAGGGACGTCCAGACCGAAAGTACCGTTTTCACATCTCTCAGAACTGGGTTAGGACAATCCCAATTTTGCACCAAAGTGAGTTAAATGTGTTCCACATACTGAACCCGAAGAAAGAGCCCTCAGCTTTCATCTTGCCGTTGTCGACAACAATCTACAACGTTTGTTAAATATTTCACTCCCGCACACAATAGCACTGCTTCGGGGGTCAAACTGAGTACTGTTTGCTGCAGATCACACATGATAAAGCCACTAAAACTGCCACAAATCAATTATTTTCAGGAAAATTTCAAATTATGGGTTAACCCCCCCCCCCCTGATTTTCTTTTACCTCAGGTGGGCAGGCCCCCCTGGCCTGGAACCCCTTGAATGGTCCAAAGCATGTCTATCTTGATTAAGAACAATCATCAAAAACTATTCATTTGCGGCGGAAATGAAGTTGATATAATTCGTATTCTCAATGCATCAATATTTAGATCTAAGATCTAGTAGAAAATGGGCAACTGGTAGATTCTAGCTAAGTTTGAGACAGGAAGGAAAGTTAAAAAAAGGTACCCAATACAGACTACAGTCTACTTTTGGGCAACGAAAAAAAAATCAAATAGTGCCTGTGTAATTTAATTTAAATTAATGATAGATCTAGACTATCTAGATCTAGAATCTAGAAAATCTAGATCTAATCTAAACTCCAGGAGGAAGCTAATTTGATTTTTTAGGCTAGGGCTAGGAGAGGGCACATATTATTAATCAACATGTTATGCCTTATGCCCTAAAAGTAGCCTAAAAGTCTTAAGTTACACACAAACAGACATTATATTATATATCACACGAAACTCTGTAACTTTTCTATCCTCCTCATAAAATTTTAACCATTTTTGTCTAATTAGGCCTTCTGGGCTCATACGAGTAGTTACGAGTAGCCTCGACTAGGACTAGGCGATAAAACAGTCATTTTTAAGTTGGGCACATTTAGAAATTGAGATCACGCCGAGGTCAGATGTCAAACAGTAAACAAGTGAGTAAAAGTGGGTTTAATTTCGTCTAAAAATAGCTGGACTGTCTCTTTGTTATAGATCTGGGACTCGCGACTCTCAGCTGTAGGCTATCGTTGGGACATTCAAAGTAAAGCCTGACAAGACTGAGTTACTCGCAACAAAGACAAAGGGACAAAGGAAATTCTGTGAATTTTTCTGCACGTGGTACTAAGACAAAGAAAGAAACCCAATAAAGACATTGCGACACTGACAAAAGAGATGCCTCGAATGTCGGCCTTCGTTGAGTTTCCTTGGTTTCTTAACTCAAGATGTTTTCCCCCCTGTATTCCTCGCCTCAAACAAGAATGAAGAAGGGCTAGACCTTCTACCCCTCCCGCATTAAATGGGATGCTCCGATCTATGAATTGCACTTGACAACCCAATAGATTTTAACTCATATTTTAAGCCAAAACGATCACAAAACCACAACAAATAAAATATATCGTACCCACAGTGTTTCAATAGGTAAGAAATTGAATAAATTGCTCGAAGTTCACACAGACAGCCGTGACATTGTAACGCAAAGTGGGTCATACTTACAATGCCTCATTCGTGAAGGGTGGGTTAGATCTGGGTGGTTCATAGTTATGAAGATAACCATGAAGTACATCAAAACAGAAATAACACATTTCTGGAAGAATAACAGAATATCCATTCTTGTGATAACTGGAATGTCCTCCTGACACCGATCCATTGCATATAGACGGCATTGAGTTGTTCAGCTTCTGTTTCTTAACCCCACAGCAGCTGCTGGCCATGTTTAGTGTTTAGATCCTACACACAGAATATCCCGATCTCGTTCAATCTCGCGCGACCGATAACTTTCCTATTTTAGTTTTGCAATGTAAGCCAAACTAAACCAAGAAAACCGAGACAATTAATTTAGTAGGCCTATGACTACTTCTAACTTCTAATAAGAACTTTAAAAGACACGTTTCGTTACCGCAATAAAAAATATATTTTATTTTTTCAGACCATGTTAGGGTACCTACAGGACAGGAGAGAAGCAGCAAACAATACACATTGATGGGATCGGAAAGATTTCTTTAAAAAATTGAGTGCATTGTCGAAAAAGTCTATTTGAAAACTAAATGCAACACGAACAACAGTGACGGGCACAAAATTTAGATTTTACAAAAAAGTGTGTGTGTATGTGTGTGTGTGTGTGTGTGTGTGTGTGTGTGTGTGTGTGTGTGTGTGTGTGAGCACGCTCGTGCGCGTGTATGTGTGTGTTGCTAGTTTTGTTCTTGGGTTTTGTGTGTTTGGGGGCGGGGGTGCTCTCGTCGTGATACTCAACGACGACGACGTGTTCCACCACTGGTGCAAGCAGTGTTAATGAACATGATATGTGGTGTTTGTATTTTTCATATCATATTACTAATGCTCTTATTCTAAGTTACAGTACGTTATTATCATATTTGATTCCCCCATAGAGTTATCCCCACCTTTTTTTTTTTAAAGATTAGATGCTAAATGTCAGTATCATTTTTTTTTTTCAACTTCACTTTAAAAAGAAAGAAAACCTGGCATTTTCTAGCCAATTTCCGGCGTTTTGTTATGACCAGAGACTATAATAAGTTTACGGGAAAATCCGATATTCTTGTAAGGCAGGAGGAGACACTTGACTCGCAAAATGCCCCTCCCCTTTACATTAGAAGTCTTTGTGACATTTGTTTTTTGCGTTTTGTGCGTGCAGTCTAAGAGATATGAGCCTAACTGGGATTCACTGGACTCGAGACCATTGCCGAGCTGGTACGATGAAGGAAAAATTGGAATTTTTATCCACTGGGGTGTATTCTCAGGTAGGCCTACTCACTGCATGTGTAGACTAGTGTAACTCAGACCGGTGTTTATTTTTCTCGAAAACACAAGGAAACACCCAAAAACACTAGATCTAGATCTAGTTCTAGATCTAGGAAACACTCGAAAACAGTAGGAATCACTCGAAATCCCTTTGATAATTTCTGAATTTGGCGAAGTGTCTCTTGTTATTATTGCTCGTGGGTATCCCCTATCTCTGGGTACACGCCCATCGCTGTCACATCACGCCATTTTGGGAAATTTGTAAATATGCTATCCTCGACCGGTCCAGAAATACTGAGATTCTAGCATCAAAGTGTATACAGACCCGGTAACCGGGAACAAACTCTTTTGTGATTTCGGAAAGTTTCAGCGCCCAGACCCGGTAGTGTGTGTGTGTGTGTGTGTGTGTGTGTGTGTGTGTGTACGTGAGAGAGAGAGAGAGAGAGAGAGAGAGAGAGAGAGGTGCTAGCAAAATGTATGTATGACATGCCCCAGTTGGCAGGAGGGAATGAGAGAAAGATAGAGTGGGAAATAGGTGGGGTGAAAGAAAGGCAGAGACCAACAAAGGCGAGCGATACACAGAGGAGAGAGAGAGCTCAGAGAGAGAGAGAGAGAGGGTGACTGCTCGATTGGAATTACATTGTTCTTTTCTTCAAATTGTGATTCCTCCAACTCCAAAACGGAGGAAAAACAATTGTTCATCGACGGCCATAGATGTAGAAGAACCTAGGTCTACCCTGAGCCAAGAGGGCGCTGAAACTTTCCGAAATCACAAAAGAGTTCCCCTACCGGGTCTGTATACTTTGTGACTTTGTTCCCGGTTACCGGGTCTGTATACACTAGGGCATTTTATCTTGCAAACCCCGGCCTGGCCCCTGAGGCAGGTGGCAAAGGCTCTGACAGGCTCGTCCCGGTCTTGCCTCATTTGATGTTGCTGTACCCGTGCTACCATGACATTTTCCTGGCGCACCGCCAGGTTCTTGATGTTCTTTAGGACAGTGTCCTCTTCGCTGGAGGCTAGGGCGCAGAATGTCCTTGTGAGGTCTTTTCGTAGCGACTCGTCGCAGCACTCGAGAAGCTGGAAGACAATGTCTGCACCTGTGAGGCGAGCCGCTTGTTTGTAGTCGGCCCACCGTTGGGTAAAGTTTTACCTCGCCTCGCCCGTTCCGGATGCAGACACGACAGGGTGTTGCACTTTCTCAGCCTTGGTTGCCGCAGTCGGTGCGTTGGTTCGTGCTGCATGGGCTGTGGTGGCGTGGATGTCAATGAGGCGTGTCAACACCTCGGTCGGTGTAGATGCAGACTATTCCACGTTGCAGCCAGGGGCAGGGCAAGGGATGGTGGTTAAGATATATATGTCTTCTATGTCTTCATAAAAATAAATGCCAACACTCTTTGTGACTTGACGAAGACTTTAATAATCAAACACAATGAAGACATACGTCAGATAATGCGTGACTGGGACAGAAACGGAACAGAAATAAAGCAGATGAATATGATTGACAAATAAGGGAAAGAATAATAATGGGCACAAAGAACAGATATGAATGATGGCACATACATGATGTAGTCTTGTTGCTACTGAATGATATTCCCCTACATTTTCCATCATAGACGTGGGAGTTTAGAGGGAGATTGAGGAGGGTTTCAGAAGCCCAGTTGTTGAAATCATTGGTCTCTTGTCCGGTCAGCAAGCAAGGTTCAAAATTTCACACTTCTCAAGTGCTATCCTTTCTGATAATTGCATCATGTGTCTGTCCAATTTATTCATTGCCACCAGTGCTTGTATTTCATTAGACCACTGTTTCACCTATTAGAAACAGAAACGTTAGAACATCTCCTTTGCTTCCACCCTTAGCCCCACCCATGGGTGTAATAAGCACAAGCAATGTCACCCCTCCCGTGGATGTAAAAATGCTTTGGAGAACACTTTTTCAGCTGACTATACAATCAGGTCTTCAAACTAATTTCTCACCTGGCCTCGGGTTGCCCATGAAAGTTTCCATGCTGGAGTGACACTTGAGAACTTTCACAAGGAGCACTGCTGAGATTTCATACCCACTCCAACCTGACCATTCCCATTGCTAAGGGCTCACAAGGGTGGTGTAACATCTACCCCCAAATTGCACCCCATCTCCCCCTCCTCGCTTGGCGGCATGGCGTGAAGGGGTTTATAGCAGATGGAACCAAAAAGGATGGTTTTGCTTCTAATCAGGGATGAGGGGTAAAGCGTTATTCCTCTAAAGACAGGTAAAGACCCTTGGAACGGAAGGAATTTCTCTTTCTCATTCTATTTCCGCATTAGACAGGTTTCCGTCTTATAAGAGGTAATTAAAGAGGAATTTATCAAGGGGGGAGTGGGGAGAATCCATTATGACAAGCTTCAGTTTTACTCACAGATTTCCATTAACAGTTTCGACTGTACTTGGTTTGAGATTTATTAAACAGAAGCTGTTGTATGTCATTCCTGTTCTAATACGAATTTTTTTCTCAACTGAAGACACCATTTTATCGTTGATTCCTTTTCTTTTTAGATTCTCCTCGAAAATCTGCAAATTTCTTATGGGCTCTAAAAAGTGTTTGAACTGTAGCAAATTTTCTCTGCCCTAACCAGCATCATGTTCTTCAATCTCAGAATATTTCATCAAGGGTTTAGTCCTTAAGCTACCACAAAACTGCACTGTCATAGGCCTGCCTATGAAATGACATTTTTAATGATGGCCTATAATTGAAAAAAAAAAAAAGATAATGTGCAAGTGTCTGTCAATGCCTTTACTTTTTTCAGTTCCAAGTTTTAACAGTGAATGGTTCTGGTGGCAGTGGAAAGGTTCTGCACCAAGAAAACAAGTGGTGGACTTTATGAAGAAAAACTATCCACCAGATTGGACTTATGCTGACTTTGCCAAGGAATTTAACCCCCCTGCAGGCATCTATAACCCGATGCATTGGGCAGAAATCTTTAATGCATCAGGAGCAAGGTGAGTCAGACAGTCTCCCTCAGACAGACACTTTTAGAAGCAATTATCGAAGGTCATTTAAAGGCTTTTAAAGTACTTGGTTCCACATGAACAAGTTGTTTTTAGGACAATCATAATATGTTATTGCTGGCCAAGGAAAATTTAGGTCCAAGTTAGATTTGTGCTCCGAATACCAGACCTGGCTGCTCGTAAGACAATGTTTTTATTACCTTTATTTTTTTTAAGTGGTTCTGACTCTTTTAGTATTGACAAAAGCACTCTTTGTTATTCTTTGCTAAACATAAGTAAGTAAATCTGTGGACGAAACTAAATGTCCCCCCGGGGCAGTGCCAGTGACTATCAAAGTGTCTTTAGGCCATTCCCAAAGGGGGGACATTTCTCGTTCTTATGCACTATAGAATTGTAAATGGGCTAATTCAACAATGTCACGCTCATAACTGTGCATGAACTACAACAGGGAACTGTTGCTTTTTCTTTCTTAATCCTTTGTATCGTCATTTTCCTTTACTTCTTTTGTATGTTTGTCACACTCTTGTGACCCGCTATTTCCGGGGTGCCTTGAAAGTCGAAACAGACTTTGTGCTGTTGAAGCTAGAGAGGTGAGCAGAGTAAGCCCGATTCCCTATAAAGACTTCTCTTTTGACATCCACCCCTTGGCGCTCATATGACCTTATGCAGTTGCGAGTGCTGTAAAATGTCTACTAAAAAAAACCAACAAACTAACCATACAGTGTACCGCAGTGAATGTACAGTACTGCTGCTTTTCTGGCATACCTACGCACTCTGCTTTCTTTTTTTCTGACCTTTATGTAAATTATTAAGAATGGCAGATGTTGTCTTGTGATTTAGATCTGATTGAGCCTTTGAGAAATGCTGCATGTCCATCTATCCACTTGCTAGTCTGTATATTATGGCTGTTTTTTTTCTGTATCCATGAAGTGCTTTTGGCACTCTCTTCTTGCTAATCATTGAGTTTTTTTCTGTTTTCTTTTAAAACTTAAAACAGGCACTGATAATCCCTGGACGCTCCCATTAGCTCAGTTGGTATCATGCTGGACTGTGGAACGAATGGCCCTGTTTGAAAACTCGGGTTGTTTTGTAGAATTATAGTGGCTCTCAAACCCATTTGATTTGGTACTATTGGAGGCTTACTTGCTTACAATCACACGTAAGCTCATACAAACAGGAACGGTTCTTTTTAGTTGGATTATCCATTTTTTTATGTCCAGACTGCAATATCATATAAAATTATCCTGCTGTAAAAAGAGAAAATTTATTGAGGGTTCTATTGACAAATACACAATCATTCTTCTATATTCAGATCTGATCTGAGTTTGGTTTATTTTGTTCATCATAATTGCATTCTAATTCCATTACGTTTTTACGACCTCAATTTTAATTGCTTCAGTGCTGCAGATTATATTTTGATTTGGTCTCAATTTAGCACTTGTGTCTCCCCAGATACATTGTCCATGTGACAAAGCACCACGAGGGATTTACAAGTTGGCCATCTAAACATTCTTTCAATTGGAACTCTATGGATGTGGGACCAGGGAGAGATCTTGTTGGTGAGTGTGTTGTGAAAGTGTTATGGACAGCATATAGTTGCAAATGTTTTGTGAAAAGATTGTTCGTGTGTCACATGTTTGTAGTGTCTCTTTGTGTGGTTGTTATCATAATGTCTGGGTTTTTTTCATTCTTTATGTTTCAGACTGGTACTGGTAGTGTTCAGACCGATTCTGTAAAGATGTTGAATAAACCCTTATTCCTAATTCTGCAATACATTATTGGAACAGTCACTCTGATATCTGTTGGAATTTGACTGTCCTGAAATCTGCTACTGGCGTTTCAGAGTGCCTATCTATGGACTTGTGATTTTAGTTCATACTATCTTCCACACACTAAGTTGTAAGTAGATGGCATGAAACAGACCGAATGACTCAAGAAAGATATATATATATATATGTTTGGTTGTTGTTCTAGCTTTCGTATTGTTGTGTTGAAGACTCAAAGCAAAGTTCAATTTGTCATGTGACAATGACCGAAATTGGAATAGAAACGGAACTACTTTAGAGGGATCTAAACTGGTGCAAGTTTTGCTTAAGTTATATTCCTTGGTAGATTTACTTTACGACATGGACACTTTATGTTGTTTTTGTTTTTTTTAATTTGCATAATTTAATTGTGGTTGGTTTGATGGAAACTGGCATAATATTGTTATATTTTTACTATGTAGTCCTATCCCACTCACCTCCTCTTTTGTGATATCTGAAGTCTAAAAGTTAGGTTTTTATGCCATTTCAAAAATATTTTTCTCTTTGAGACTGAGACCACACTAGCATCATGTGACAAGGTTCTGTTTGTAAAAGTTATGGTACACACTGTGGGCCAACATGTTGATAAGAAATATAATGTTAATAGAGACCCGATGCTGCATGTACCATACTATTTGGGGAATTCACTTTTTTAAAAATCTGTGCAGCTTTGAATCTATATTGAACAGCAGACAGTCACATTATAAAAAAGTGGAATAGGAAACCAACAATTGTTTAAGTTTTTTTTTTGAGGGGGGCGGGGGGGCTTTACCTGAAGGCTATCTCGCTTATTACTTTTACTGGAGAGCAAATTTTACCAAATTTCACACATAATATAACAAGCACAGTAAGGAATCTTAAAATCCGCAATCACATTTGAAAAAAAAGTTTCGTTTCCATGGCTACGGCGGCCATATTGGATTTTATTGATATTATGAAATGAACACCGCACTTATTTTTCCTGGATATAAAATAAAAAATTAAACTGATAAATTTTCAGTATTCTTCATCCTGTGAAAATTTCATGAAGATTGCATAAAAAATGGTGGAGTTATAAAAAGTATATAGAAAAACTGCGTATTGAGAAAATGGGCAATGAAGAAAAATAAAAGATTGACTTTACGAGGAAATGGTGGTGACAAACATGCCCGGTATGGGAAGAAATAAACCTTAGGGGGTTCTAATGCTATGAAATAGTTGTAAGAGAGGCTGAAGAAGCTAAAAATACCTACAACTCAAAATCCATAATTTTGAGCCGAGTTGGGACTTTTTGGATGAAGCCCCCTTAAATTAAAAATCATGAAAATCCGCCTCTGTCATGTTCTGAAACATGTTGAATAGTTCCTTTGTTTGAATTCTGAGGTCTGAAGAGTGTGTAATACAGATAAGTAATTAAAATATCATATTCATATCATGTGATGACAGTGGTAGAGTAGAGGAGGGAGGCTCTCGCTAGAGGTTAAGGTGTTGGCCTCTCATTCAAAGGTCCCAGGTTCGAATCCGTGTAGCGACCAAAAAATTTCTTCTCTAAAATTGTTTCCTTTCACCTCCTTTCCTGCTCTCTAGCAATGTTCTGTTGTCAGTGTTGTCTGCTTTCGTTTCCACTTTCTGCTCCCACCCGGGCAAAATTCAAAATTTCCTACCAACTGAAAATATTAGGTGTGTCCCGCGCGCTCATATGACCTTATGCAGTTGCGAGCGCCGTAAAACACTTACCAAAAACAAAAACAAAAAGAGTAGAGGAGGTAGTCTGCGCTACCCTAAGCATAAAAAGTGACCTTGCCGGTCCCCGGTGAGAGGGGAGGTAACCGCACAATAACTGATGAGAAGCAAATTTCGTCTGCTATCGTCGGCCCAGCGCGCCGTGCCTACCTTGTTTGCCTGTCTCCCTCCGTAGTGGTATTTGTGTGGCAAAGTGAGGGCGGGTGTGTGCGACAAGTCACAATCAGCGGGGATGCGCGTTCCTGCTGGAGGGTGGCGGGTTTTATGGAGGGGCTACGCGATAGGATAGAGTGGGTCTTGCAACATGCCCTAATAACTTCTTATTAGAATTTTATAGGCTAGTGTATGATTTTCTAACAACAAAGGAGGAAATATTCTAACAAATTACACAAGAGTTAAGTTACAAGAGACACTCAGTTTTTATGTATAGCCAAAAGAGAAAGAAAACAAAAACTAACTGAAGCCAACGCTTACAATGGAAACTGTAATCTGTTAATGAGTCTAGATAACTCTGAAAATCATGAATTAAATTATATTAGACCTGCAAAGTGGATCTAATTGAACATGGATAAACAAAGATATTGTTCACACCAATTGTATGAAACGAATTGGGATGGGGAGATTAGTGAACACAGTAGAAGAGCTCTATGTCCATGGCATCCAGGTCTTCCTGAGTCTTGTCCTTCAGGTCCATCTGTTTAACACAGTTGGCGTGTTATACGGAGTGCCCACTACGGCTGGATCGGGCCGATCGCCCGACTCAGTCGCCTGAAACTGAAAGCAAACGCGTTTGTTTTTTAGGCGACCGAGTCGGGCGATCAGGCCAATCGGCCGGTCCTATCCATAGTGGGCACCCCATATTACCAGTTGTCACAAAGCATGCACTGGGTGCACCCTACTTGTCCTGTGGTGGTGGCTCCACACCCAGCACAGTCGACTGTAATGTCCCCACAATCGTCGGTGCTGTCGTCGTACACCGGCTCTTCCCCTGAGTCAGAGGAATCTTCATCCTTTCTTCTTCTGTGAGGCCACAACCAAAGCATTCATCTTCTTCTCCTGAATTCTTCTCTTCTTCTCCTCTTTCTCTTTCGTTGCCTGCTCCCTTTGTTTTTTTCTTCTGTATTTGGCGTTCCTTCTTTTCTTCAGCTTGTGCTAGCCGTTCCATCTTTCTCTGCTCCCTTTGCTTCTTTCTCTCTTCCTTCTGCTGTTGTTCTTCTTCCGCCATCCTCTTCTTCGTGGGTATCATCTTTTTCTAGTTATTTCCACTGATGGACAGTGGCACAGGTGGCGGAGGCTTTCTAACGGCCTTGTTCTTTGAACATGACAGTAATGTGAGCACCTTGTCGATAGTCATCTGCCTGGAGGGGGTCTGAGGTTCCAAGGCTCTTTCTGATGGCTGGAGGAGCAGAGGAGCCAGTTGTTCAATATTGTCCATCAGACTGGACCACATGTAGTCGGGGTCGATCTTGAGGTCGTATCCATTGTCATACCTCTTGAGATACAGGTCCACCTTCTCCTCCCCAAGTTTAAAGTTCATGGATAATATTTCCTGGAGTCGATGAAGGCAAGTTTGTGACATCGTGGATGGCTCAGAGGCAAACAAGGTGGATGGGGCAGAGGCAGACGAGGTGGGTGACAAGTGGAGGGTAGGGACAGGGGACCCTGTGAAGGTGCAGCTGGATTCAGCTTGTCACTTGTGATGACAACGTCAGGATTGTAGGGAAACAGCCCTGACTTAATGAATACCCTCTTGGCTGTTTCCAGCGGAGCTGCTGTTGTCCAGGCCTTCTTCAGGACGCCGGCAAACGTCATCAGTGTGACGGATTCCGTGGTGTCACCAACTTCCTTACCCCCTCTTGCCACGCTGGCTTGATGGCCTCAAAGAATACCTGGTCCTGAGGCTGTGTCAGGTGGCTGGTGTGGGCCTTGAGGCAATATATATAATATTGCCTTGTTGCAGAGGTCTGAGGCGCAAAACCCCGCCTTACCAGACGCCATGTCGGTACTACGCTCCTATCCTACCCCCATCCATCCCCTTAGAGAGGCTGAACGGCCCCGTGCTTTGCTTAGCACTGATGCTACACACACGACACACTGCTCAGTGTGTAGTACAAGTATACACATCTTCATAAAATGCATTAACAGCCTTACAACTGCAGGTCGATGCACTGTTACAATACATAATCAGCAAGCCTGGAAATAATTTGCCTCTGTGTACGTGCAGTAAAAAACCACAGCGACCAGCCAAGAATCTCGTGCGACTTGAAAAGGTGCTGCCGGATGTTGATAAAGGTGGGAACACTCTAGCGTGTTTAAATTGGTTCATACCACATAATTGTTGCGCTGACCCCCCTGTCGCATAACCCTGTTGCTACTCTAGTTATAGAGTTATAGAAGTAATGATATTGGTGGTAGTGTTCATAAAAGCAGTGTATGCTGCGTCTTTATGTGTATGTTTAATTGCATGCTCAGTCTTGTTTTCATCGGATTTTACTTTAGGGGTTTGTTGGATTATGTTTTCTTTTTTGTTTCTCTTTACCCTAGGTGATCTTGCAAAGGCTGTGCGGCAGTTTCCCAATCTGAGGTATGGTATTTATCATTCATTGTTTGAATGGTTCAACCCACTGTACCTTAATGATGTGAAGAACAACTTTACCACAACAGATTTTGTTTCAGTAAGTTGGCCAATTGTATATCTCTATGAATATTACCATTCTTTCTGTGTATGATAATGAGTGTTAGTGTTTACCTTCTTGGGGAAGACATTTTTTTAATTTAAAGAGGGAATTAAAATTTTGTCTAGTATTATGCTCATAGACAAATGAAGTAAATGGCAGCAGGGCAGGTTTTGTAAAATTTAAATAATGGCCATGCATGTTTTATAAGGGGTTTTACATCTAAATCAAACTGTTTAAAAAAGAAAAGTATATTTGACTTTTCAATAACAACACTAAGGTATAAACTATCAGTATGTGTCTGGATGTATGTCTTTTTTCCACAATTTTTAATTTGTCAGTAATATGATGGTTTCTTTATTATAGGATTAATGTTATTTTTTCTGGAATGTTTATTTTGAAAAAAAATTAATTCTCTGTGGATCTTTACTCCATACTGCTTTATCGCGCACACACACGCACATGCGCGCGCGCGCACACACACACACACACACACACACACACACACACACACTCACACACACACAAACACTCAACTGTACTATCTATCATTACCTTCAAGTATGTAAAATTACAAAATCCGTGTAATCACTTTTTATATTAGGGCAAAACACTTCCAGAACTGTATGAACTGGTCAACACTTACCACCCAGATGTTGTGTGGTCAGATGGGAGCAAAGGCCCAGACACCTACTGGAACAGCACCCAGTTCCTGGCCTGGCTGTACAATGACAGGTACCATAAAACATCAGCAGTCTGTTCAACTGTTCTAAGTCTACAAAGCATTTTTTTTTTTTTCAGGAAAGAGGAAAAAACTTTTTCGTTCTTTGAAAATTTGTATTCAAATTATTGCTTTTTTTAACGTTTAGAATTTGATTTTGTTAAATATTTTTGAAGCATGTGCAACTGATATCATACATTAAGAAATTACAATATATATAATTTTTTTCTGAATTTTGGCTTAGTACATCTGATCAGCCAGCCGATCATAAATGAAGTAGCCTTAGGACATCTGTAGGACATCTTAGTTTAACGGCACGGCTATGTACTTGCAATAGAAAGGTGTGGATTTTGATTTTTAGATTTGCCAAATACGAATCTGTATCCCTGGGAAAGATATTTTACAGTTTTTTCTTCTGTTCACTCAGCTGCAAATTCTGTGAATTGGTAGAGACATAAAACAACGGCAGTGTGAACATAAAAGTTTGCAGTCCTGTGTGTTTTCCATTTGTAGTTTCATGATGATTTCTTTATACTCCTATAGGATCTTTCAGTCTTTACCATTGTATTGCTGTATTAGAAGGCAGTTGAAATTGTCAGAGATGGCTACTCTTTATGGAGAAGCAAAATGGTTGTCTTAGGCATGTCTTGGTTTCTTTGGCTAAACAGATAGACACAGCCTTATATTTATATTTTATGTCACTAGTTTTCGATGTTATAGGCTTTTCGCTTTGTAAGTACAGGTTGAGAGCTGGCCAAACTTTAGATATTTTCCATCAGTTTACTCTGTCGCTTTGTGTCTTTCTCCCTCCTCAAATTGTCTTTTTAAAACATAAATTGTTGATGTTCTTGTCAAAGCTGAGCATTTTGTCGTTTCCCTTCCACTTCCCCCCCTCTCCTGTTAAAAAAACATTTCCGGCCCAGCCCTGTGAAGGATTTTGTGGTGACCAATGACAGATGGGGAAATGGCATCGCATGTCATCATGGAGGTTTCCTCACCTGCCATGACAGATACAACCCTGGTGAGTGTAATGTTGTCCACTACTGGCCATCTTTTATGTAATTGTACTTGTAAAATACTAAATAAAAGAATGAAGACACCAGTAAACCTCATCAATTTTGGCTCAGTCAAACGTTTTTGCGTGCGCTCCTGTTTAAAAAAAAAATTATTACAGATGTTGTACTCTTCTGTGTAGAAGCAGGCTGATTTGATGATTCAAAAAAAGGAAGGAATAAACTGAAATTTTCGTGAACTTAGTAATGACTGATGAAGTGGGCTACATCACAATGGCAATTTAGGGTTCATTGAATTAGCAAAGGACTCTTGAAGTGTTAGTATTAACAAAAGAAAAAGAACACAGAGAGAATGTGTATGCCATGTATGTAATATATATTTTTTTGAGCTGGTCAGAGAAAATCAAGAACTTGTTGTCACTGGGCCATTTTGGGTTTTTGTGTTTTTCTGAAAGCTGGGATCATCCTGATTATTACGCACTTTGAATTTTTAAATTATCTTTTCCAGAAGCTGAAATATTGCATTTTGGAGTAACAAAATGTGATAATGTAAGTATTAAGAAAAACTGTTCAAATTTACTCCATTTATTTCTTTTTAATATCTGAATGCAAATGGAAAATAAAATGAGTAAAATACAGTTAAACCTGCCCTGACGGCTACCTCTATAAGACGGCCACCTGTAGAAACGGCCACATTCCATTTCCCCCTTGCGTTTTTTCTATTTAATTTAACTGTGTAGAACGGGCACCTGTCCAACGTGGCCGCGGCCACCATATTTTAACACACAACCCCTATCACACTAAGCAATAACACCTGTCTTAGACGGCCACCTTAGTGACTCCATTACGTTTTGTCATAAATAGTGCATTGGCCCCTGGCGTTGTGGGCGAGCCGTCATAATTCAATCACCTGTTGTTGTTGTTAGGTAGTCACTCCAACCGATCGTGTTGCATAGGCCCCTCCCACTGTTGACCAATAGCTACCAATTTTCAGCTGCTGGTGAGGTAAGCGTGTGATCCCTCATAACCCATAGGCCCCGGCCTGAACTTAGGTGAAATGAGTGGTCACTGTTTACCCAATCTGTAACAAAGTAGCAAAGGACGTCAACATGAACTTGTGACAGAAGCTTCGCTCGTTCTCCGAGTGGTGGCGACCCTTGTGTTTGTTTTAACAAAGCACTCAGTCTTCCTCGTCTGATACATTTAGTTTTATTGTCACCCTTGTGCAAAATCAGCAACAAAATAAAAATTACAAACAAAATACAAACCAACTACAACAACAACAACAACAACAACAAAAACAATAACAATGCAGCTACTTTCGATTGGGAGACCTCAGATGGGAATGGTTTGTTTTCTTCATCTTGATCAGTCCTGCCTTAGACAGCCACCTGTCTTATGCGGCCACTTCTCTCCTTGACAATGGGTGGCCTTCTTACACAGGTTTGACTATTTTAAAGTGTTTTTTTTTCAAGAAACAGCTCTTGAATTATATCCTAAAATAGTCAGGGAATCCTCTGGTATGCATGACTCAAAATCGACCAGATTTGACCTCACTGACTATTTTTGCTGATACAGTCAAACCTCTGTAAGACGGCCACCCATTGTCAAGGAGAAAAGTGGCCGTATAAGACAGGTGGCCGTCTTAGGCAGGACTGATCAAGATAAAGAAAACAAACCCCATTCCCAATCGAAAGTAGCCGCAATTGTTGTTTTTGTTGCTGTTGTTGGTTTGTATTTTGTTTGTTATTTTTATTTTGTTGCTGATTTTGTGCAAGGGTGACAATAAAACGAAATGTGTCAGACAAGGAGGACCGAGTGCTATGGTAAAACAAACATATGGGTCGCCACCACTCGAAGAACGAGCGACGCTTCTGTCACAAGTTCATGTTGACGTTCTTTGTTACTTTGTTACAGACTGGGTAAACAGTGACCACTCATCTCACTTACGATTTGTGTACGAGTTCTGGGTGGGGCTTATGGGTTATGAGGGATCAGATGCTTACCTCACCAGCAGCTGAAAATTGGTAGCTATTGGTCAACAGTGGGAGGGGCCTACGCAACATGATTGGTTGGAGGGACTACCTAACAACAACGACAGGTGATTAGATTATGACGGCTCGCCCACAACGCCAGGGGTCAATGCACAATTTATGACAAAACGTAATGGAGTCACTAAGGTGGCCGTCTAAGACAGGTGTTATTGCTTAGTATGATAGGGGTTGTGTGTTAAAATATGGTGGCCGCAGCCGCGTTGGACAGGTGCCCGTTTTACACAGTTAAATTATATAGAAAAAACACAAGGGGGGAAATGGAAAGTGGCCGTTTGTACAGGTTACCATCTTATAGAGGTGGCCGTCAGGGCAGGTGCGACTGTATATCTCAGTATGAGGTTTAGCGACAAGTTCCTTGTTTCCTCAGACCGTCTCATATATGTTTCAGACATACTTGGCTTATCAATACTTATATGTTCTTGTGCAGGTGTTTTACAGAAACGGAAGTTTGAGAATGCAATGACCCTGGATACGAGATCTTGGGGATATCGAAGAGACATGAAACTGAAGCAAATACTCAGCATTGAAGAGGTCCTTGAAACTCTTGTCATCACAATAAGGTCTGTCTTCATCACGGAGACCTTTGTTGATTACAATGCATTGATGCAGTTTGTTAACATTTGTTAAAGCCAGTTATTGATTTTACTTATTTATAGGCTAAGAGATATACAGATTGAATCTGTTCTGAATTTCTAAGGGATCATTTTTGTTTACTATTTAAGGCTCTGTCTTTGATATCAGCATCCTTTTCTTTAACATTTTCTTTTCAAACCTCTTTTCATGTCTCAATTATGTTTAAAAAAACCCTTTTTGGCTTGAACTCGTCATAGGAAGAATCACGTTAATTTTTTCTTCATTCTGTCTCATTTCATTTGTGTGAGATCTTAATTGTCTAAGGGCATAGGGCACACATATGTTTGATCAGAATCAGGTCAAAAGCATTGTTGAGGTACAGGTTTAACCATCAGACACAAGTCAGGAATATATGAATTTGCATATTTCATATTCGTAATATGCATGTTATTGCTTGCTTTTTATATGTTTCACATAAAGAGAACAGAATTGATATGTAAGTATTATGAATGAATCTTTATATTTAAAGTGCTCCAAAACAGTATCTCTTCAAGCATTGTTGAATGAACAGATTGCATGTTCTCAAGAAGTTAATGTTATTATGCTATTTGGTAACTGTTTTAATTTTCATTGCTCTGTTAAAAATCTGTAGCTGCAATGGGAATATTCTGATCAACGTTGGACCAACCAAAGATGGAACAATAGATCCGGTGTTTGAAGAACGACTCAGACAACTGGGCAGCTGGCTGGGGGTGACTGGTGAGGCGGTCTATGGATCTCGACCCTGGACCTACCAGAATGACACCCACAACTCTGACGTATGGTAAGAATTTATTTGTAGTACAGTACAGTAAAGCACATGTAACTCAAACTGGTCGGGGAATGACAAATGTGTTTGACACTTTCAAAATAGAGGTAAACCAATAACACGATAAACTAAAGACGTATTGAAGAAAATCAAGGGTAGTAAATGTGATGGTAAAATGGTAGAAAAAGAAACTGTAACAAACAGATTTGTTCTAGCAGATTCGCTTCACTTAGCTTTTTGAGTGATGCTGTGTCTCTTTTTGAACCCATCCAACCATTCTGTGTTTTATTTGAAGTCAAGGCTGAGTTCTTTTACAATTTCATCTGCTTTTGTCTTCAGGATGGGATCATAGGTAGGAAGAGACATGGCACTTGCTTGCTGGAACCATTGAGACAATGCCAGCTCGATGTTCTCAAATTTGGCAAAGTGCACTCGTGACTTTCTGTCGGGCTGACATTTAATGCTGGCATTTTCAATTTTATATCAATTTTTTTTTTGGATGTGAAAAGAATTGTGTTGGAGATACCAAATTTTTTACTCATTTCCAACTGAGTGCAGGACTTCTTGACAACCTTTACTTAAATCTGATGCTTGGTTTCTATTGCCATACAATCTTCTCTGCCATCTTGAAAAGTAGGCCTACCTAGTATCAATAAAGGGAGTGCTTATTTAGGCCACATATGGCCTAAATAAGGTAAGGGAGGGGGGTTAAGCTTATTTTTAGGCCACGCTTGCTCAAACTACCCTTTTCAGGCAACTGAGTTAGTTCCACTTTCATAATGGTGCACCTTTCTCATTTAGTACAGGTTTGTCTCAGTGTACAACTTATAAATCATAATCATAATGAATATAATAAGAACAAAGCGCAATACGCAAAATTTTGCTCAATCCCAATGGTTTGAATGAGGGCCAAATTTTTCCTTCATGGAGGGGCAAAAGCTATGCTACCATTCTGGCACACTTTGGTCAAGTGAAAAAGTCAAATCCTCCGAATGGACTTCCGGGTCAAATTTGAGGTATAAAAAGTGTGTACACAACGTGGCTGAGTCAAAGTTACACTATCTTTGCCTGAGTGGCACCCTCTCGTAATGTCTCCTAGTTGCACATGTAGTAGTAGTAGTAGCAAAGATCGTGTAGAGAATCCTTGGTAGTAGATTCTATCTAGTAGGCAGTTTAGTGAACGTGCACGCGGCAGGGCGAATCGGCCTCGATAAGCCCAGTAGACTTTTGTGATTGGCCACGAAGCCTCATGTTTTGATGGGTCTTAAGTCTAAACAACTCAGTGTTAATCGCACTGCCACATCCGACGGGCCTACATCTTTTTAAAAGGAAAAGAAAGATCATCAAAACGGTTGAATTCGCGTGAAAATCGATTCGGTAGAACTGGAACTATTAAAATTTGCTTCTTAAAACAAGGCAATTTTTATAACTCGATGAAATAAAAACTACTGGCTGTGTTATTCTGTATAAATTATGAAACTTCAGGACGTATTATTATTTTCCAACATCTTTTGACGCCTGAGCTGTAGAGGTTGAAGTTTTCACAACACTAAGACTAATAGATCTAGTAATAGGTTATAGGGCTTTCCGTAAAGAAAATGCATAGATCTCTTCAAAAGCCGAACCACCGAATCAACCGTTCAGCGACCCAGGCACCCCGCTTTCCCCTGCACACTGTGATAACGTGTTGCTTCGGTATCGCATTATTGAATTATTTAATACGTGCGGCGATGGCAATTGGGTTGAACTGACTGACAAAACAATACACAGTTTTGTTTTTATTTTACCATATATTTGACTTTAATAGTGCCTGTGATAGCTAGATCTAGATTCGCTGTCTAGAATCAGTATAGTAGCAGGCCTATATAATGCTAGAAGCAGCCAGAGAGCCTACAACTGCCAGATCTAGATCTAACTGCTATGTCTTTGGGCTTTGGAATTGAAATAAAACGAATTGCACAGTTCTAGTTAATTTTAGATTCAGCAACTAACTGTATTTCCAGAGTTAATAATAACAAATCTCACCATAACATTCACTTTCACTTTTATTAGAATAATTAGATCCATCTTTTTTTTCTAAAATCTGTTTTGCGCAAACTTAAGATTTTTTCTACTTGTAGAGCACAGCATTTACATTGTAAGCCTCTGCTCAGTCTTTTACTTTTAGTATACATAATAAAATACATATATAGATCTATATAATCATTTTATATTATTTTCTGGATATTTTTAAAACTCTTTTTTTTTAACATGTCGTAAAATCAAATTGTGCCATTTTCTTTGATAAGAATAGCATTAGCAGTGGACTTTTTAGACAGCAAGTCTCTCATTCAATATTTTAAAAAAATATGCTTATCAATGAAAATTGCAAATTGATAAAGTGTATGTGAGGCAGCGTGGTGGAATCAGGCTTTCATCAAAATAAT